ACTAGCCATTTACTGCCATGTTCACTTACCTTTCAGCTTTTGAACTGGTAAAAGGAGAGTACACTAAGTACTAAATAAGTTGTAAATTACATTGCAGGCTTATAGCACAATGATCTGTATCACAGATAGCCTTATGGATTCCGTTAACATTCATACTAGGGCTGAATTCAGACTAGGACCAGTTTCTATAATAATGATGTGTGCTACTGAAGATCACAGAATTTAAAACAAAGGATGTTTAAGTTTTCCTCCTCTCTTTAGTTTGGGACCAATTTAAATGTGATATTATTAATTCAGTTAGCAGTTGCATGATATTGTTTTTTTTAAAAAAGAGGCTGCCATGAAAGGTAGATTTTATACTACCTCCTCTTCCTTGTTATGATCCCAGTTTGAAGAGTTTGGAAGTGAAGCTTGCTTTGGTTATAAACATAAGCAGTTTTTCTCTTTATCTTGATAAAAATTCAGTCAGACAGCAGATACAGTTTCATGGGTCAGATTCCTGAGAGCTAGTCTTTCTCAACTGTGAGCGTAATATCTTCAGTATTAAATTTTTTACAAACATCTATAGTATGCTGTCATATGTCCATTATTTTTACATTCTTTATTGATTATCACTCTAGTGATATAGAACATAATTAGTATTGAAGAACTAAGAAAATGTGTTGACTGGAAAAGATTCAACATTCCAGTTAAAATACCAGTCTGCTTAGTAAGATTCCTTTGAATATAATGACTGGGTAGATTATGTATTTGGCACAGATATGTCTCACGGTGTTCAATGTGACCCTTAATCATTATAGTGGACAGTTAATTCCCTATAGGGCTGATACAGCCTGTGGATAACTATTAGATAATTATTATCTGTAGTCAATCTGGAGCAGTTCTCCCATCTACCCTACAGGTCACTAGGGCTGTGACCCAGAGCAAAGAAGAAAGTTGAGGAAGATGAGGGAGATAAATACACCCCGTATATATTTCAGCTCTTGCCTTAATTGATTCATGATTCTCTAGTAAATGATAGGTGCTGGTGGTTGTCCTCCTGTTTTGCCTAATTTCATCAAACTGAAATCATACTGCACGTATGATTTCTGTAGTATAATTGCTTAATGAGAGTGATTTAATCCAACTAGAGAACATTAAACTCAACTTTCTTTCAGGATAAAAGCAGTATGATGATATTAAAAGGGCAACTGGAACAGTTTAATTCTACAGAAACATATTTTAAAGATCCCTTCTTATCTGAAAATTCAACAAACTGGTTTCAATAGTCTTGTCTTTTATTACTATTATTGTTTCTCAGAAGATGACAAACTGAAATGAACCTTGGACAATTTAAGATTTACACGACTGGTATGTCACTAAAGGAGTTTAAGTTTGTAGTATGGATAATTTCCTGGACCACCCATGTCAAACCCCTTCCAAGTTAGTCATTAATGGTTTCTCCATATGTGGCTTAGCCTGCAGGTGATTTGATTAGACTGACCTAAAAAAAAAAAAAAAAACTCTTTAGTAACTATTCTGCCATTGTATGAGCTTCTCTGGCTTTCAATCTTTCAACAAATCTTGGCTAATTTGCCTTTCAGTAGTTCAGGTAGATTAAAAAGTGATGGTAATTTTCCAACCAAAACCATACATTGGAGAATAACTAGCTCTGCAAAGTCTGTTGAAGAATATATTTTGAATAATCTTGGATAGAGAATGATGAGTTTTTCACAGTACACATTGAAGAACGTTGTTGTAAGCCACCCAGAGTCGCTTGTAAAAGTGAGATGGATGGCTATATAAATTGGATAAATAAAATAAATAAATAATAAATTAAACCATTAAACTATCCCATTTTAATAGACATACTTTTCACATTGAAACCAACTTTTCCTAAAAATTTATTGTATATATTTTAAAAATCACTGACATGGAATACTTATTTATGTTTGGTAATTATGTTATGGACAAATCAAATAACATTTACAGAAAGTATACTGCATTTGTTATTTTGAAACAAAACTTGACTTCTTCTAAATATAATGTAAAATAAAAGTTTTGCACCTCTTTTACATCTTTTATTTCTTTAAAAGACACAAATTCATTTTTCTGTTTCCACAATGAAGTCAAACTGTAGTATGATAGGGTCTGCAGTTAAAGAATTCAGCATGAAGAGAGGTGACCCCGAGGGATGAAGTCTCTGTATTCACAGTGATGACTGTGATACGTATCAAAACGTGCTAACAAACGATTAATGTTCCAGCCCACAAGCACTTCTAGTGCAAGCCATAATGACATCACAGGTCATGACCCTGCATAGATGACATCATGAGGGGAGTGATTCTTCCCCCCTCCCCTTGCAAACCGATGCCCACGTTTGCAGGCCCAGCATTTGTTTCAATTAGTGCTACTGTAGATTGTGATTGTATTGCCAGTTTGGAAACTCTGCTTCCTTTAAGAAAACATTGGAATTTGTGACTTGTTGTGATAAAAGGTTTTAGCATGACGTGTTCAGTTTATTTAAAGGGAGCACATAGCTAGGAGTTTTTTGAATGATGAAAAACGTATTACTTGATACTATCACAAAAAGTAGCTGAAGTATGCCCAAAGGCAAGTGCAATACCTAACCTCACTATTCATTTGCAAATTCATTGAAACAATATCCGGTTTTGGAAAAGAGTAAGGAAAGAACTTGGACTATTTTCAATTTTTAATAACTTATTACTCTCCCAATCATAATAAAACACATGTTGGCTAGGTTCTTACAATGTAGTCAGTGATGATTTGTTTGACTATGTTATTCACTCTAACTATACTTTAACAACCATGATTCAACTGAACCAAAAAGGACAGGGACCATATTTGGCTTAGCACAGTGCATGAACTAAGACATTTTTCCACAAAAATACACAATTCAACTGTAGTAGTGGTTTCTATATGAAGGTGTGAATATAAATTCAAAATGCCCAAATAATTGTGAATGGCATAAAAAAGCATTGTTCCTAGAACGTATGAACTTGTCCATTCTTTAACATCTTGGGATGTGTGAGCCTCGTTGATACAAGAACAGTATTTGCCTTTATAAGATCTGTAATCTATCCAAACAAATCTGTTTGTGTGTTTGCTTGAAGAAAACATCTAAATGATGTCCTTAAATAAAAAAGTGCCAAACCTTGTTTTCTTAGAAAAGTACATATAGTATCCTAATCAAGATCATTTTCATAGCTTCACAGCCTTTCAGCTTGAATAGGAACTGGTAAAATTGAAGAATTTATTCTTCAAGCAAGGAGGTTCAGACTTCTCCCTTGGAAGCAATGAAAAGGATTATACCTTTGCCAGTGAGAAGAGGAAATTAAGATTAACTTGACATTTAAATGGAATTCAGTTTTCACCCATTGGATGGGTCTAAGACTATGATTCTGGAGCAAGTAATTTTATTGACTGATTAGGTTAACTGTGAAATATATTGAACTGTATGTGTGACCTTTGTGTCATAGAAAAAATTATACTGTATAATCTTACTGTGCTACAAAAACTTAAATATATTTTGCTATCTGTGAAATGTGTTGGCTTTGTTCATTTCTACATCTGACATACTTCATTCAAGCCATAAACTGTGTGTCCTCCAAAAGTTTGCTGGAAACGTGGGTGGCATTAACTTTAACATGTATCTGCACATTCACAAATGGCACATTCAGTAAAACCACCTGGCTAGTGGCCCTTACAGCCATTCAATCCAACACCCTTACAAGGGCATAGGAATTTTCTCTGCTGCAATGTCTGATAATATGATACATGGGGCTTGAGAGTAATTGGTATTATTATTTTCTAACAAAAATGTTCATCTCTATAGTAAAATAAAAACCAGGAAAAAATCAGATTAGGTAAATTATTTATTTGGTAATTGGAATTTTTCATTGCCTAAAACAATAAACAATATATGTGTGTTACTAATTAAGCAAATATCAGCATAGAATGGTGATAATTTCACTATATTTTTTTCTAATATTACAGGATCAGATTGCTAGATAGAGTTGCAGCTATAAATCCTCCTTATAAACAGCCTTTGGTTTTCATCAAAAGTCACTTGACTTAAACTGCCCTTTATCCTGCACTAAACTGCATATGTGCAGATGGAAGACCCAGGTGAGCTGCTCTGAGGCTAAGCAAGGTTGATTGGATTAGTACTTCCATAGACAGTTGGGGGATCCCAGAGTTGTAACCTAAACTAGGAAGGTAATGGCAAACCACTTCCACACCACTGCAAAGGGTCTCACAGGAGTGTGTCAGGCAGTCTCCAGGATTCGAGAGTAACTTCAAGGAATGCTTCCTTATTTTGTGACTCTGCTGCTTTAATTTGGAAGTTAACTCTTCAAGCCCAGCTCTATTAAATTATTCAACATCTCAACTGATCTCAGTAGAGAGAATATTGTAGCCCAGGGTTGAACTGAGGAGTTCTTGGTGCTCTTTGGGCTTGGTTGTTTGCTTGCAGACGTTTAATCACCCAACTAGATAACATCCTCCGTGAGAGTGAGTGTTGCACTGATGACGTTACCTGGTTGGGTAATGAAACGTCTGCAAGCAAACAACCAAACCCAGAGAGCACCAAGAACTCCACACCTCGACTGATTTCAAAGACAATTATGAAGTCAGACCTGTCCCAATAACATTAAAATGCTTATTCCTATCTGGAACCTCGAGGACCCTAATCCCAACAGCGCATTAACGTTTCTGAATTTAGATCTTTGCGGAAGTCCCCAAACCGGCGCCATTAAGTACTTTAAGCAGCAGCTCCCGCCGCTCTTGTTCCTGGCGCTCCCTGCATTTCTTCGGGACATGGAGGGCAGAAGGGCTCCTACCATAACGCTATGGTAGTTGAAACGGCGCCTTACAGAAATCAACAAACAAAGCACCTTCCTTCAAAGAATCGGGAATCGAACGAAGCGAGCAGCAGTTGACAAAGGGGCGCTTCCGGGCGCGGGGAGGCATTCTTGGGCGGAGCATGTTGGCTTCGAGAAGGACTACGTAAGAGGCGTCCTGGGTTCCCATAGCAACAGTGGCCGTCCAGAAGCCGGAAGAAGTAGGTAAAGAAACGAGCCGAGCTGCCTTTTCTTTCCCCAACGCGCAGCCAAATGGCCCTTTTTGCGCGGTGCTGCGGTTTTGGCCCCTCGAGATTGGGCCACGATGACTAGTCCTGCGCTGACGCCTCTAGTCCTCATGGAGCAATCGCTTGGAAGCCCATTGCTTATTTGGGACGGAGGTCTGGATAATGTTCAGTTTTGGAGGTGGGGGACGTTCCCAGGAGCGGAAAATATGTATCACGGCAGTTTTCCTGACAATTCATCAAATGGCCCCTTTGATGGCTCCGTTTGTCGCGTTTTAAAAACGGACAGGTGGTTAGATTGCTACAGGCTTCCCCTTTCGTTGAAAGCAATGGCATTTCAAAGCTGTTGAGATAATATGGAAGTTATCCAATGCTCTGCATGGAGATTAATAGGGAGGCGATTAATATTACACTTCAGATATGATAAAATGACATAGATGACTTCAAAGCAATATATATAGAGATTAGGTTTCAAATACGTGAAAGTCAATTCATGTAGCTGTGAAGTGTTGTGATGCACCTTGTATTAGCATAACCAAACCAGTATAAATTAAAAAACAACAACTGTTCACTCAGTTAATAAGTGTGTCCTTTTGTCTTACTCCCTTCCCTATCAGGCATGCTTACTATTTGGTTAACTATGTTGTTGGGTTTGGATGTTCAGAGACTGGCTTTTGGATTCTTAAAACCTTGAATGCAAGTCAGAAATCCAAAGTAATGGCTGCTTTGGCTTCATGCCAGAAACGTGGGTTAAAATTTGTGATGGAGAATAAAATGGTGGCATATTCATCAACTGAGCTTTTTTTCTAATTTAAATCAATTGATAGTCACTGTAAGAAAATTGCTACATCTGTGACTGTATTTCTATCTCTCCAATGCCCAGAAACAATTACTGCAGAAATTCTAGTAGAGATAGTACAGTATATTTCAAATATAACAAATACTTAGAGTTAGGGCTTATTCACTCTAATGGGGATTAAGCTTGTGGAATGGCCATATAGTTGATCTGCCCATTAGAACAGGAAAGGCTTAGCTAGTGTCTCAGAAGAAGAAGTTATATAGATGAACTTCAAGCCAAGTTTAAGTCCTGATTGTAAACATAGCAGTATAAGGAAATAGAGGTGGGGGGGGGGGTTGCCTTCCAAGATTTTTTTCAACCTCTTAGTCTAGGCAACAACTCTAGAATTTTTAAGTAGTTCCCCATCTAATTACTAAACAGAGATGACATTGCTTAGCTTCTAAAATCAGCCAAGATTTACAAGGTCGTGCCACCTGCTGAGGCACCTAACAAGAAACAGCTCCACAAAAATCAGTGGCATATATCATTATGAGTCTTCCTGTTCATGTCAGCTGTAGCCTACAAGCACCTTTTCCAATTGATTATGCTCCAGATGCCTTGGTATACAATCCCTGTAATTCTCAAGCAGCAAAGTTATGGTTATGCTAGCTAGAAATTTGAGGTTATCATCTGCCATACGTGGAAGACATCACTTTGCGAAGACTGCTGTAAAAAATTCTTTCTCACTACAAATGACAACTGAGTGTTTTTTGTAGGCTTGCCCCACAGGTATTAATATAAAATGCATGCTGTGTGTATACACATACACACACACTCTGCAGTGTATGTGTATATATGTGCTCTACACTGAATCTTTTCCTAAGAACAGAATTTGAAGCTGAATACTGTTATTTTCAGTCACACAATCTATCCTTACTGATTTTATCTATATATCTTGTAGATAACTTGCTGTTGCAAACAAGTCTCTCGATGAAAAAACCACCCAAAATCAACATTTCATCATGTCTGATCAGAGGGAGCAAGTTCCAGTGCTGCCCTCAACTTCAAAACAAGAGAACACACAAGTCAAAGATGTCTCCTTAGTGCCTGTTAGCAACAACAGTAAAGGTAAATCTCACAAGTATGATTTAATGCTATCTGATATTATTTGATATACTACATTTGCTCTGCTGCTGATGTGTTTTTTTATGATTGGAATGTATTGTTTATTTCAAGTATCATAGGCTATTGCCTGTAGCTGTTGTTTTAATCTTTGCACATTGCCCAGAGTCACTGTTGTGAGACGGATGGCCATATTATTATAGAGCAATCAGGCATTTGTGTTGCCACTTAAAAAGAGAACCTGGAGATAAAAATAGGCACATTGAAGAGAATTATAGCACTTCTACATCACCACTGTTTCCAATCCCCAAGCCACCAGTTCCAGCCTCAGAATAGCCCATATTGTTCCCAGCAGAGCTCCCACAAACATTTACCAGAGTGGATCAGTGCTCTCTCCAGCTGGCCAATGAGGAAGAACCAAAACCAACTTTCCGCCAATACCCAGCCCCCACATCTCCATCCTTGCCGCACTGCATTTGCCTATGTGGCAAAGCAAACACAATTAAAAAAGAAAGCTGTTGCTGTTCTACTGGCTGCCCTGAACCTTGGTGCAGAGCATCAAGGCAGTTTGCCAGTTGTGGGGAGGCAGAGGCATCAAGAAGCTGGGGAGCTAGCAAGCATTCCCAACAGCAGGAAATTAGCCTAGCCCAGAACCCTAAATTGCTCCAGCATTGCAAAATGGACATCTTGAGATTTGAAAGTTTGGGCAGTTAAATTGAAGAAATCTGACCCAGCTACTCAGTAGAGGTACTAGCATGGAAACCATGCTACCAAGAAATATATCAGATTAGTGCACTTCCACATGTGCTTTGGCACCAGTGCTCCACAAGGACGCTCCCTTAAACAGTGTTTAAAAACTCTTTAAAACCTGCATGTGAGTAAGGTGGAAAGCCAATTTGCTGTAGTGGTTAAGGGGCTGGCCTAGAAACCAGGAGATTGTGAGTTCTAGGCCTGCCTTAGGCATGAAACCCAGCTGGGTGACTTTAGGCCAGTCCTTTTCTCTCAGCCCAACCCACCTCACAGGGTTGTTGTTCTGGAGAAAACAGGAGGCAACAGTATTAGGTATGTTCAGCACCTTGAGATATATATAAAAAAGGCAGGACAAAAGTCTAATAATAATAGTAAGATGCTTTTTGGTCCAGAAAAAGTTTCTTCACATTTAGCAATTGTAGCATTTAGAATTATAAAAGCAGTTCTGCACTAGTGGCAAGGGACTCAGTGTTTTAAAGAATAAAAATCCATTTTGAATTAAATTTGTCTCAGTATAATCACATTCCACTCAGCATTAACAATGACTGCAATTTAATGGGTATTGATTTATTTAAACTTATAGACTGTTTCAGTCATAACCAGTTCTAAGCAGCTGATGTTGCCAGTTACAATAAAATTATTACAACTTACCTTCATTCCATGCCAAGGGGCAACAATCCAAAATCCATTAAAAAATCTCTTCCTGTTGGAGGGGTGGAGTCAGACTATTACCCAAGGGCTGTGAAACAGCGAAGTCTTCATACTCTCCTAAACCCCAGTGGAGGGAAGTTGTTCCAGAGAAACAGGGCAGCAATAGAAAGGACCCAATCCCATTGCCAACAGTGGCATAGGAACCTGAAGCGAGTCCTCCCTTCTAGATCTTATAGAATGGGTCAATATCATTGAAGAGTGGCCAGTGGTTCTCTGAAACAGATGGGGTAAGTATTGCCTTCTCGGTGCACCACTGCCTCTTTCAAGGCAGGCAGGGCCACCCCTTCTATCAAGGATGCATTTACCACTGTTCTTACTTAGTCTTCTGTCACTCCCTGGAGGTTTTCACTGACCAAAGGGGGCAGGGATCTGTGTTGGCACCTGGTGGCCAATCAGAAGCCAATAGGTACTTTGGGTTTCCAAGACAATAGGTTCAACAAAGTGAAATGCCAAAAAGGATTTTATTGAATAAATACTAAGAGAGTTAATAGAAAAAAGAAATATATATCAATCCATGTCCCTTTAGATGCCAGGAACCCCAAGAATGGCAATGGACAGATCTCCTGGAGCCAGCGGTTGCTCAGCACCCTCCTGGGACTTTGGGTCTGTGCCAAGATTCAAACTGTCTGGGGGCTTTTGCCACTTTTTAAAATTCAGTACAAAGGCAGCATCGGTTGTGCTTGTTGATTACCTTTGGTGGAGCTGACATGGGGATAGTGCATCCATCTTTGTGCTCCTTGATTTTTCAGCAGCTTTTGATACCATTGATCACAGTATCCTTCTGGACTGGCTGCAGGGGTTGGGAATGGAGCCCCGTACTTGGTGGTTTTCTTCCTTTCTTCATGGCTGGTTCTGGTCAGTTTTGATGGTGGCAGAGGTCATTTGCTAGGAAGTGCTGTCTTTGTGGGTTCTGTCTCCCCTCCTGTTTAACGTCAACATGAAACTTTTGGTTGAGATCACCTGCCAGTTCAGGGTTCGGTATCATCAATGTCCTGATGATACCCAATTACTGTATATCTTTTGAACCTGAGCCGGCCAAGCAATGCTGTTGAGGTCCTGCCCCAATGCCCAGAGGTTGCATGGATCTGGTTGGAGAGAAACCAACAAGACTGAGTAGCTATGGATATTAAGGCCCCCCAGATCCAGGAATTTTCCATCTTCAATCTTGAATGGGGCTGCAGGTCCCCATAATTAGTTGAATTTGTCCTTGTGGCAGTTCAGTTGAATCTATGTGCTGCTCCGCTGCTCCTTTTATAATGATATTCAGAGAAGACTCATCTTCCCTTCGTTATTTGGAGGAACTTCATGTTAATTCCATCTTATCAGGTAAAAAAAGTTTTGTCACCCATAATGGAGCAAAGTTCTGTACAGCTGCTGTGAATGTGTGTAAACAACTGACTACTACCCCACATGACTGATATCCTGCTATACTGTACTACCCCACCTCCTGCTATACTGTATAATGAACTATTAACTGCCATCATTCTAATACTTTATTCTAATAATTATTTCAGTATTTTGGATCACTAGAATCCATAGTACATTTTATACTCACATTGTCAGTTTACTGCACTTTTGTTCTGAGCATTCATTTTCTCTATTTAGAAGGTTTTTTCTTGAACATGAACCATTAGAATTGTAGAACTTTAGTTTTGATAGTATTGCATTATTTATTGTCCTATGTTCAAATCCATAGTGTTTGCGTGGATGGTTCCTGTTGTATTTTGTTTGTGTATGTTTGCTTTATTTGGTCACTGACCGAACAATAACACATTATCTCTTTGTCTTAATTGTTAATCCAGGTAAGAGGCAAGCAAGAATGATTAACAGTACAATCTACAGCTTGCTAGGAACTTCTTCTAAGCACAGGCATGGAGGAATGTGCAATGCACACACAAATTACCTCAGCTGGCTGAATACCAGCTACAGGTATTATGTGTATGTGCAAAAGGGAAAAAAGCTGTCCACACCACTAACTCCTCACCAATCTTCCATTGTGCCAATGAAGGATTCAGTTCACAAGTGATGGAGCAAATGTCATGTAGGACTTTGTTCGCCTCCTCTGGACCCATGAAACCCATCCCAGTTAATCTCACAAGATGAGGCCTCCTTCACCTGTACAGACTGGACTTGCCCAGCTGGCATCTAACACCTAGTAAATCTCAGTAATGTTATCTTCCAAATGCCTTGTCCATTGCTCACAGCAGCCCAGCAATTGCTGTTCCAGCCTATCCTTCCATAATAGGATCCAGGTCACTTTAATAATAGATGCAGGATGGCAATTCACAGATGTGTCAAGAGTGAAGTATTGCCATTTTGCCACACTTGCCACTATGGTGTAGACTTGAACCTGAGCTTTTACCATGTTTGGACAGCCTCAGACTTTGTTTTTGCTGGTGGTGCTTCAGACATCTCTTTCTTTCTTAGAAGGGGACAAGTAGATTTACCTACTGACAAAATACTGAATGCTGAGTATATGTAATCTCCATAGCGTAAGTACAACTTTGTGGGAAAAATCAGAATCACAGACAACAAAGAAACAACAGCATATTTCTGATACTATAAATTGTTAAACTTGGAAAGCATTCAATCTTCAATTCTCCAGTATCACAGATTAATTACTTGCTTATTTCTATTTTAATCAGGAGCGAACTTTCTGTCTTTCAGAATTAGCCTTTCCAGTCTAGTCTGTATTTTAGACTTCCTTGAAATTGGACTATATTGAAATTTCCTGTGTTTCAAACCATGTTGGGATAATAAATAACATTCATTGTGTGCTTTTGGTCTTATTTATATATTAGTTGTATAATTGGGCCCACCCTTTCACAAAAGCTGGGGTGCATTGCAGTAGCTATCCATAGAAAAAAAACAGGATAATAAAAAATGTAGTTCTTTCCCTTATAGGACACTTCCACACTGCCATTTTTCTCTCCAAACCCTCCAAAGTAGATATGTGATTTTTACTGACTTGAACTACTAAGAACAAGAAGTGAAAAATGCTTCCACTCAGGTCTACAAAAAATCCCCCAGCCCGGTCTTCACAAAAGGGAAAGAAAGGAAAAAAATAACCTGACACTTTCTCTCTATTAGAACAATAAACATTCCTCCATCTATCTGCATTGGTGTAATTCTTGTGCAAATAGAAAATGGAATAATACATGAGACCTATTAGGTTCTTAGCAGGGCCACCTCAACATATGGTAATTGAGAGGAAATGCCAAATGTGTCCAGTTATGCACACCAGCTGGTTCTTGCTGAAAAGAATGGGAAACTGACAAAATGAGGCCCAATGCCTTAGAATCTGTCTCATACTACTATTCCCAATGAATGCTCCTGGTGCACTTCTTGGTGGCCTTCTCCCATCCTTGCTCTTGTCCCTCCCCCTTTTGCTTTCTTCCCAGTTCTGCTTACAGCTTCCCAGGACTGAGTAGGGTTGCAAAGAGCTAACAGCCAGATTCAGCAGCCTGCCTGTGTGAATATATGTGTGTAATTATGCTTTAGATGGGGAAAAGGAAATCTTCCAGCAAATTATGAACAGAGTGTTTCTATGTCTTTCCTGCTCTTTCTAGAAATCCCTGAGTTAAAAGGCAAACCAAGTGTGGAAGTTCATTCCAAGCCTCTTTCGAGACCCTTGCAACGCGATTTCATCCCAGAAGAGATATTTGTTGCTTTGACTTCTGCTGCCAATCCTGTCCAATGCCCTACTTTTTTAAGACCACCCAGGAAAACAAGAAATTTAAAAGACTTTCAGGTGTGCAAGTTCATTTTCACTAGAAGAGTATGTGTTCCTTGAATATAAAAATCGATCACAGCACCTGCTGTTTAATTGTCTGTTGTGGCTCTGAATAATACCAACTGCTCTGATGCCAGTCTAGAACATATTTCCAAAGGCAGTATTGAAGCATAAATGTCTCAGAAGCTCATGAGATGAGGAATATATTCCCCATTTTCATAGCAAAAAGGTATTTCCCCCCAATAATATAAATTGCTACCTAAAGGAATATCCCATAAAGTACTGTTTGGTGATTAAAATTACCTGAGAGAAGGTCCCAGTTTATTCTATTTATATAATTAATATGCAATTTCCAGGAAGCACAAGGGAGTAATCAGGAGTCTGGTCACACTTTTTCCAACACATTTTATTAAAAGTATACCCTTGCAGCTCACTTCATTACAAAGCAGTAATCAGAGTTCCCAAATAATTTCCCAGCCAGTTACTGCTGGACCCAGAGTTCCTATAAGATGTATCTCCAACTTTTAACTTCCGTAGCTATTTGCTTTTTATTCTCCTCTAGAATGGCCAATCATTCAACAGCAGCAACGAATTGGAGCTTTCTGTATCTTTTGCTGCTTATCTGGTGGCCATCTGGATTTTTACAGCTCACGTTGGTAGGCCTACTCTTTCACCGTAGTAAACTGAGCTGGCAGATATTCTATTCTTTTTAAACTGTATGAGTATAAATGCAACATTTGAAACTTTATTCATATACATTTCAAACCTAAAATACCTTCAAAATATTTTCAAAACTACTTTCTGTCTAGTTTCACATATGCAACCTCTATTGAAATTCCAGAAAAGTTATTATTCCTTTAACCAATTTCTTATACCCATTAATAGGATCTTAGGTGCTTCTATACAGAAAGCTCCAGTCCCAAAATCAAAACCGTTGTATTTTCGCTGTACTGTTTTCTTCAATAATTCTACTGGAAAATTGTACTATCTTTACCTGTAATGACTAGTTTTGTCTCCCAAGTCATGTCACTTTAAAATGGAAGATTTTCTTAGTTTCATAGTAATGAATCCAGAAGATGCTACAACTGCTACAATAGAAGCAGATTAGTTTTTTCTGTCTTACTCTTTTTTTAATGGAGGAATGTTTAAAATTCTGCATCATTTTCCATTCAGGTAAATACAGTATTTATTCGTAATTTAAAGTATGCTCTTTTTTTTTCTTTAGCATGTGTGTGTGTGTGTGTGTAGTAATATTTGTTAATAATGAATTCTCATAATATTTTAGATTATAAACTTATTCAACTGTTGAAGAGTTTACCAACTACATGCACATGGATGCAATGAAAACCAATCTGCTATTACATTTCTTTAAAATAATTGGGGGAAAAGATTAATGTACCTCCGCTGCTCTGCCTGTTGCTTCTCCATTCTAAGCTAACCACTGTGGAACTGCTTTTCTTCAGAAGAAACAACAGTCAGGGTTTCATTCTGGCCAAGTTCACCAAGCAAGTTCAACTAGAATTTTTAGATCATGGTTTGTTGAAAAAGCTGTAGTGGAGGGGTTCTTACACTACACAAAGCCAAAAACAGATAAGCTTTATTGTAGCCCTGTCAGCATTCCTAGTAAGCCCCATCTAAGCCAAGATAGCTTAGGTAATGTCAATTTCATGCAGACTTCCACACATTCAGCCTTTGACTATCTGGCTGCATGTCGGCAGGGAGGAGAACCTTTGCATGTAAGGCTATGTACACACTGCTTTCTATACAAGCCTTTATGGAGTTGGACAGTCTTTTTTGACAAATAAATAAAAGCCCCAGTAAGAGCATACAAAGGTACCATATGCATGGTAAACATATACTGTATATGTCTATAGGAGGCTGATATTGTTTGAGAGGCATCAGGGAGAGAGAGGCAGGGATTTTAAGTGGTGCTTATTTAGTGAACTCCCAATGTTATAATGCCTGAACAGAACTCATTATATATGTTTGAAGCACACTAATGTGCCTCTTTATGTTATATATAGTTCAAGTATAGTATTAGAGGCTTAAAATACCATGGGTACTAGTAGTTACCCCAGGACCATCTAGATATTTTTTTAGTATCAATTGATCTTTTCTTCTGTTCTTCAGGGTTGCATCCGTACAGCTGATGGAGTCTGGCAACACCCTATTCGTAGAAATAGATTTCAATACCTGATACAGCATCCCATCTGTTTGACTGGAGCTGGAAGGTAATAAGATGGAATACTAGAAAACCTTCAGATAAAGTAATTGGTATCTTAGATCTCCCCTTGTAAGAAACATCTGTAGTATTGAGATTGTAGAAACAGAATGCTAAAAAACTATAAAACATGTTATACTACTATAAATAAGGGAGGCTAATCTGCAGAATGGATTCAGTATCATTGACTTGCGCTTCTGCATATTTCTCATGTTTGTACATGTTTGCCCAACCAATTGAATCAAAAGCTACTTTGTCTGGGTTTGTGCAACATGTTGCTGCTAACCACATTTTAATTTAGTATACTATGCGAATCTAGTCATAGTGTTTGAGGCCCTGAAACTATGAACTTTTCAACTGAGAACAGGAAAGTAGAGAGCTGAACACCTGAGATAATGGGCAAATAAAGATGATTATCAGATAATGGGAGATAATTAGGAGTTCATTCTGAAAGGTGTAATACAATTATTTTTTTAAGGCAGGAAAATGTTTTGGGCAAACACTGGAAATATGTTTTGGGCAAACATATGGAAAAACAAAACGATTTTGTGTGGGATGGGGACCTAAATAGACAGGTTGACTAGCAGGCAAGAATTTTGACAGAACACTAGGAAGCTAGCAAGATGTTGCTATGCTCATATGATGCAGGCTGTGCCTTTAGATGATCAGATGTTAGTACTCTACTGAGTTTTGGAGGGGAGAGCGTAGTTCAGTGATTCTGTAGCAACTTCCCAACTAAGCAGTTGTTTTCCTTCTGTTTGTTAAGGGATGTCTCTTTTCTGTATGATATCATCTCTCGAAAAGAATCAAAGATTCATTCCTCAGGTGTTGTACCTCATAAGACTCCGAGAAATGTGAAGCAGGGCGCGAGTGCAGCTAAACTGGTGAGTCTGCCTCTCTGCCAAAGCATTGGTAGCATTAAGTACAAGGCTATGTCCTTGGTTTTTTTGAAAAATTAAAAATAAAACAAAAATATTTACCAGCTAAATTTTCTAAGTCACACTTAGTGACCTAGTGTAGAGACAGTACTTAACCACCCAAACAGTGCTGCAAGACTGAATACAAAGAAGCCAGAGAGGGACAGAGATTGCTCTATTTGCTGTTTATTTAGAGAGCCAAATCAAACAACAAGCTGGCATGATCACCACTATTATTTATTTATTTGTTTATTAGATGTACATCTCACCTTTAATTCAGGAGCTCAAAATGCCATATGTGGCACTCCTTCTTTTTATTTTTCCCCAGAACAGTAACAGTGAGAAGTAGGTTGGGCTGAGAAAGATGGAATGGCCCAGAGTCACCCAGTTGAGCTTCTGTGGCTGAGGACAGACTGGCTGAATTTTCCTGCTCCTCGTCTACTACATGACACTGGCAAGCACAATGCTTGTTCGTTAGTACAGACCATGATTTGAAGTGGACATGTGAGCCATAGTTTACCCACTATGGTTAAAAGGAAATCTGGATTGAATAAACTGCCATTAAGGCAGTTTCCCTCCTTGTCCAAGCTGTTTCCTTGTAAGATGACTAGCAATCAGGTTTTACTAATGCCTCCTGGTATATACTTTTACAAGGGTATAAGCCAAAAAGGAGCTTTTTTAAAAAATAAGTCTGAAAACTTAAACAAGTAACAAGCCATCATTAAAGAATGTCGGGAAGCATTCTTTATGAATATCTGTAAAAAAAGCAAATCTATCTTTGGGGAATATGTGAATGTCTGTCTGCCTCATGTACTCCCTTTTAATTTGTTCTGTTTTTAGACAACAAGCATAGCAGACACCCTTATTCCAGAGGAATTTCATATTGTAAAGAATAGAGGTGTCCTAGGCTTGGAATATTATGATGAGTGAGTACTATTATATTGGTTTTATTTTTTGTACTGGCTAAGTGGAGTAAAATCAAGAGCATCTGAAACTAGGCAAAGACGTACGGGTGACTATTTGCCTTGCTCAAACCTCTGCTGTCTAGTTCAGAGGTCACCATATCCACATTCTCCAAAGTGACCCAGAATCTGAAAGTAAAACAGAGTCCTTCATTAATGGTTAGACAGTATAATGAAGTTGGTGTAATTTAGCCCACAGATGAGCAACATTTTAATGGCTGGAGGATCCAAGCCTGAAATGACCAAGGCAATGATGCGGAATGGATGAATTCTAATCATGAATGTTGACAGGGACACAAGATTTGGAGGGATGCTTGGATTTTTTCCCCCCAAACAGATGTTGAGTTTATTTTAGGGCTTATACTACAGTTTTGTGGATTTCCTGCCTCTCAGTGCCAGGAAATTGCACCAATGAAGGTTGATAGCATAATAGAGAGGTCTCCTGAGGATGGAGGGGGGAAGTCTTTGAACCATGTGGCTTCCTTCTGATATCAGAATTAAACTGGGGAACAAATATATTTGGGGAGACAACACAGAAAGTGTTCAGTATTCCTTTCCCATATGACCCTTTCATATTAAATTAGGCCTCAGAAACATGATAGCTGTCATCAGATGAAGTAAGGCCTTACTTTAGCTGTATTTCTCAATTTATGCAAGCTAATAGGTATATTTATTGTAAATTTATACAAGTGAGTTAGGACTACATGATATGGGCTTCCGTTCTTCTCTTTCCAAACCCTTTCCCCCCAAAAGGGTGCTTCCAATTAGCTGCTTAATATAGAATTGGATTGTTTTAACTTTTTATAGGATGTTCATGGTATTCTATCATTTTATTCATTGTTATTTTCTTTTCATTTTTCATTTTTTGTTGTTGTCATGGAGAATATTATACTTCTTTCAAAGTATAGGAGAACAGAATAGTTTCTTCATGGGTGTATGTCCTTACAACCCTCCTTGCAAATGGGTGGGGTTTTAACATAGGTCTGGGACATATTAAAAGAGCGAATCAGAGCTTTGCACACAATCATCATAGCTTTCTTATGGGCATTATTTGTAACTATTTTTAAAAAGAGTTGTAAATGGCACTAACATGTTTTTCTGCTACTGTTTTAGTGGAAAAAACTAAATGATACTATAACATGCCATTTATTATAATGCATGTTTAATAACTTTCAGAAGGCTGATCAAGTAAATTAACTTACCCTCCCCAAGAGAGCACTGGGATAACTAAAACATAGTAGAATGTACATCTAGAAAAGACACAATACTCCCAGAAATATGGAAATTTGAATTTCACTTATAACTTACAGTAGAAAAGCAGTGATTGATAGTACCAGAAACTAAATTGATTCAGCTTTGTTGCTAGAACTGTAATGTTGCAATGAGCCCAATTGTAGCAAGGAATTGATGACATCTGTTAATCTAATGTAACCTCTTCAGTTTGGTCCCTACAAATGCATTCAACTTCAGCTGTCATAATGCTCTAGTTATATATTAAAAAAAAAAAGAAAATATTTAAAATAAATATGCTATTGAATCCTGCAATAAAGACCTTTATCAAGCAGTTTAACCTGTCTTTTATTTACTGCAGTAAATATACAACTCTGCTTGAAGATGAGGAAAACAGGCTGCGGGTTTTCCCATCCATGTAAGTAACACATACTGTACTTACGTTCAAGATTCTTTAGTTTTGTGTGTTATAGAAATTATTGGGCAATTTCTTCTCCTCTGCTTTATTAGGAAGCCCTCTGGGAGGCTGGAAGTTCTCCAGCTGATGAAGGTGATGGATACCATGCTGGAAAAGGCTGGAACAAATGATGAGGATGTTGGAGTAACAGGGCTTTCACAGGTAATAATTTTCCTGATACTTCTATAATCTTTTTCTTTCTAGTTATGAGGTTAGTATGAATGTTTATCTATATTGGAAGGAAATCTGCAGTTGATGGTAGAGCAGGCATTTTGTACCTAAATGTGTTAGGAGGTCAACTTGTAAAGGTAAAATCCTAATCTTGCAGTATTAATATAAAAGGTTTGATACACCACATCTCATTGTATTATTTAATTATGATTTTATAGTGATGATAATATGTTGCATTTTGTATATTTCAAAAGAAAAATGGGATAAGCTATTAAGTAAATAATAAATGCCAAAGGCTATCAGAGCTTTTGATATGTAAGAGACCTGACCCCTTGTCCAGTCTAGAGAACACCTCACAATTTCTAACTCCTTAAGCCAAGGTACCTGACTCTCATAATTATTTTGCAGTCCCAGACAAGTATTCAGTACAGGTAATCCTCGACTTATGACCATTTGTTCAGTGACCTTTCAAAGTTTTTATTTTCTTTCTCCTAATCCATCTAAAGGCTAGATCACCATTTTATACCTAGTTTTTCAAAAATCTTAGCATTTTCCACATATCTTTCCCAAGATGCACAGTGCCCTGGAGGTGCTGAAGGTGGAACAGAACATCTACA